GTGTTGGGTATTTAGGTGTGGTAGTTAGTGGTAGTTAGGTGTGGTAACGTTTATGTTGGTAGCTTTAGCTGTGGTAGTTTACTGTCGTAGGTTTAGGTGCGGTAGTTTAGGTGCCGGTAGTTTAGCGGTATGGTATTTAGGTGATGGTAGGTACTTAGGTGTGGAGCATTCTCATTCAACTGAGAGAGGCGCGGCGAGAGAGAGGGAAACGTCAACGTCTTAGACCGACCCGCGTATCTATGCATCGCTTGGTTGATGGCTCTGATGACTGATCGGTACTTTAGGACTACGATTACTACAATTTCACAGTAGCTGAGGCATTCTATAGAGCTGGCACATGCACGCAGGCAAGAGAGAGAGGAAAGGAAAGTCGACGTTTAATGACGTGGACCAGCATGCGTATCTACGTGCGTGCGGACTGACGGTCTGATGATATCGCTACTGGACTGCGGTCAATTTTGCATTACAAACTGCAAGCGTTAGTGCCGATTTTAATCGTTTTTATTTAAAAACTTGATAGCTTGATTCAATTATCTCTGATGATATCAGTACTTGACACTATGGTGTAATGACAATATCGACTACCCCTAATTCTGCCTCGAAACACTGCAAGCTTTTGCACGATTTCAATCGTTTGCGTAATAAAAACTTGATAGCTTGATTCAATTATCTCTGATGATATCAGTACTTGACACTATGGTTGTATGACAATATCGACTACCCCTAATTCTGCCTCGAAACACTGCAAGCTTTTGCACAATTTCAATCGTTTCCGTAATAAAAACTTGATAGCTCTATTATCACTGACGATATTGGTACTCAAGGACTACGATCGATTTTGCTCCAAAAGCATTTGCACGATTGCAATCATTTGAGACAAAAAACCTACAGCTTGATTCGATTATCTCTGACGATATCGGTACTGGACTACGCCATAAATTTGCAATCATTTGAGACAAAAATCTGACAGCTTGATTCGATTATCTATGGCGATAGCAGTACTTTAGGAAATACGCTCTGTTTGAGCTGACTAACTGTTGAGTGATTGCAATCGTTTGAGACAAAACCGGGAGCATGCATACCTAAAGAATGACTCGACCTCTACTGTCATGAAGGTCATCTGTGGTGTCAGGAAGCTAGCCCCAAACGCTGTCAAATGGTTGCAGCTGAAATAATCACAACAAATGATAAAAACATCAAATATTATGTAGATTTATATAAATATGTATGTATAAAGGGTGTGCATATGTGCATGTATGTATATGTATATAAATATGTATGTATAAAGGGTGTGCATATGTGCACGTCATGTATATGTATATAAATATGTATGTATAAAGGGTTACGTGTGCATATATATGTAACAGTTTAAAACTGCAGCACTTTCTAATGGTCTAACGTGTTAGACACGTATATTATTTTGATATCACATTCTATTACATTCACTGCTACAGCTGATTTTTTCTTTGTTTATCAAATAGTATTGGACCATTTCTAATTATTCTCACTATCAATCCGAGAAATCGTAGTTAATGTCGCAGGGGAATAGTATTGAATTCGACATAACAGAAATTTATGGTACACATTACATTAGAAATAAAATTTACAATGATAAATTTCACATTTGTTAAGGATAGGGTTAGAGCACTGGTTGGTCAGGGGGCAGGGAAGGGGAGCGTATCGGCAGTGGTTAGGACTAACGTTAGGGTTAGGGTTAGGGTTAGGGTTAGGGTTGGAGTTAGAGTTAGGGTTGGAGTTAGAGTTAGGGTTAGGATTATGGTTATGATTATGATTATGGTTAGGGTTAAGGTTAAGGTTAGGGTTAGGGTTAGGGTTAAGGTTAGGGTTAGGGTTAGAGTTAGGGTTAGGTATGAGTATACTGGCTAAGTGGTGGGGGGTGTGTACCGGCAGTGTGTCGCCGTGTAAGTGGAGCTCTCCATCGGCAGGCAGCCCTTGTCTGACCACATGTCAAGGCCATCGTCAAAGTAGAGGCACTGTCCGAACCACAGCTGCAGCGTGTAGGTCTGAGCCTGGACCTCGTCCCCCCGCGGCCGGCCCGCGTTAAACGTCCCGTCAACGATGCCCAGGTAGTAGGGACCGGAGACTGGTGAAGAAACACAGTAATGTATACTGGTGAATATATACAGTAAATATTTAGTAGGGACCGGAGACTGGTGAAGAAACACAGTAATATATACTGGTGAATATATACAGTAAATATTTAGTAGGAGCAGGAGACTGGTGAAGAAACAGTAATGTATACTGGTTAATATATATACAGTAAATATTCAGTAGGGGCAGGAGACTGGTGAAAAAACATGTAATATCATAGTAAAGGCGTAGTACGGGCAGGAGACCGGTGAAAAAAACACGTAATATATACAGTAAACATGTAACATCATAGTAAAAACATGTAATATTACAGTGAACACGTAATATGACAGAAAACACATAGTAGGGGCATTATTAATAATAGTTCTGTTCTTGTCATCTAGTCTTGTGCATCTAACATAACATCTTAAAGTTGCTTAACCTCACAGCTAAATGCATATATAGACCTACTGTGAGCTCTTCTATGTTGCAAAAATTCACTACAACTCATTTGTATTGCTATTTTCATGTTCATATTTCTTCTCAAAATGTAAACGAAATTACTTCTCTTACGAAAGAAGCACCACAGTGATGTTTACACATCCGGGACACAGCCGAGTGATCGTTAACAGTTCTATGATAAAACAAGTTTTTCTATGATAAAACAAGTTATGATTTATTATTATATGTTTATTCAGTACAAAATTGTGAAATTTGTTTAAATCATATATCGTTATCTACATTACATGTGCAATCAGGAAACAAACATAGTGTTTTCGTTCCAGGAACTATTTGCGCTATGGCATATGGATATCATACTATTTTGCGTTATCTGGCACTTCGTACAAATAACTTGCATCTGACAGAGTTGTCAAAATAGTCAACTTCGGAGCACATTTCTGGCTCAATCAAAACATTTTGTGATGTTTGCACACTGCAAGTATGCTCACAGTAGGTCTATATAAGCCTTTTGTTGCGAGGTCTATCCATTTTAAGACGTTACATTATTCGACCTACCATTGAGAGCTCCGACAGGGAGAAACAATCTCAGTTCCTTCTCACCAACCTCAAAGTCCTGTCGTACCTCATAGTTGTCGGGCGTCGGCGGACTATCGTAACTGAAGGTAGAGAAGCATACAAGTCCGTTAATTAACCACCACATGGTTTAATTTCCCTTTAACAACATCTGCTAGAGCTATCTACATCTGTATCACTGAAGTCCTGTATGGCACGGCTTGTAAGATTCTCCAACGCATTAGATGCACCCCGCATTTTAAAAGTTGCATTCTGCAAAAAAACATGTTCGACTGCACATATGTTAACCATAAATTCCACGTTTTTACGATGTTTTTATTATGTCTTTGCATCGAATTCCCTGTATTTCAGAAGCACTCCCCACCCCTACTATCAGCATCAGACAACAATATACTGCAGACCACTGCTTCTTAAACTATTTTAGTGTCATTCACCCTCAAGTCTTTATCACGATCACAAAATTTCATTCACCCCAAAATAACTTCATTCACCTTTGGGTGAACCATTTACCCGTTTAAGAAGCACTGCTCTAGACCATTTCGCTGAGATGTATAATATATCGTACCGTAGCTAAAAATGATTCAGCTACAATGATGTCCACTACACCTACCTTAAACTTATAGGATACAAGGTGGTGTTCACGGCCATTTTAGCGACAAAGAAATGCTCCTGACACGCTAGATACCTTAATTACAACGTAAATGACATGCCTTGTATCGTGAATGGTCAAACGTATCGATACATGTATCGTGAATGGTCAAACGCATCGATACATGTATCGTGAATGGTCAAATGTATCAATACGTGCATTGTCGAGGTTTGTATTGCGATACATGGACATTGTTAACCGTAGTCAAAGGAAAGCTAGACTAGGAAGGAAGACTAGTGACTTACGTCATGATGAAGGAAAGAAAGCTGGACTGGGAAAAGAAATGGGAAGCTAGACTAGGAAGGCTGGAGGACTTGGCGACTTACGTCATGATGAAGGTGTCGCAGGACTGTCTCTCGAACAGCGGCTGCCCGTCAGACGACACCAGCTCCCTCGTCTCTGACATGCCCTGCTCCCCGTGCAAGATCAGGCTCACCTGTGTTAACAAAAAAATAGTAGAGCCTGAAAAAAAATCGCGTCCGGTGGAGGGTCGAGGGAAGCCCCCCGAAGATATAGATTCTGTGCAATATAAAACATTTGGTGACATTTCCTGGTAAGATGGAAATTTAGAAAATACTACAATCGATTTAATTTGTAACATAAAAACTTGGATGAAACACTGTCATACAAGAATATAAAACAAGCATACATAGTTAAGATCCTTAGATGCAATTCACTTTTAGAAAAACGAATTAAAAAAAAAATTTATTAAAACAATTCTTTTGTTTGAATTTCTCTCCAGAAGGAAATCCTTCTAAAGACCAGTTTAACACCAGTGTTAACACCAATGCTTGTGAGTACGTGAGGTTAAGGTAAGAGCCAGGTGACGACGACTCTCGTCGCTACTATGAACGGACGGATTAGCGTCGTTGGGCACCCGAAGAGAACTTTCAATACAATGCCCAAAAATAACTAAACCTTGACGGGTATGCCGCTGAACGCAGGTGTCATTTGTTTCATCGTAAAACGTTAAATCATACTCTCACAGCGCCCCCTACCTTCGCGGTGGTGCCGGCGCCGCGGTGACGGCCCGTCTCGATGACGATGCGGTACGTCTGCTTGTCCTTGGCGGAGTTGTCGACGAGGTGGACAGGGCGCGGCTTCGTCGCGTCATGGAGATCAGCTCGAGCGCACAGCGCGAACACGAGCGCGTAGCAGAGCAGTGCTGCCACCAGCAGGCCGTAGCTGAGAGCGTTCTCATTCAACCTGAGAGAAGAGGGTGCGAGGAAGGTTGATGTTGGTCAACAAGATAACCATGCGAATCTACGCGAGTGCGGACTGATGGCTCTGACAATATCGGTACTGGACTACGGTTAATTGATTGATTAACGACTTGGATTGATGGCTCCGACTGTTACAAACTCATGTTATTGTAATAGGAACACTGTTCATAGCTGTGGTAGTTTAGCTGTGGTAGTTTAGGTGTAGTAGTTTAGCTGTGGTAGTTTAGGTGTGGTAGTTTAGCTGTGGTAGTTTAGGTGTGGTAGTTTAGCTGTGGTCAGGGCTCGAATTAAGCGACGAGAAGGGCAAGGCAATTTTTTTAGGGCATGTGAGAAATCGCCTTGAAATTTCTCTAAAATAGAAAACTCTCAAAATTTGAGAAGGGCACCAAGGCTCTTTTGTAAAATAAAGGGAAACTCATAACA